CCTCTTTTCTCTCCTCATCTCTCCTCCCTTATCTTCTCCTCTCCTCTCTTCTCCCCTCATCTCTTTCTTCTCTTCTCCTCTCCTCTACCTCCCAAGGACCCAGAACATGCTCCTCCTCCCTGAAGTTTGTAAGAACACCAAGCCCATGCCCATTTCTCTCAGAATCACAGCATTTAAGGACTGGAAGGAACCACTGAGGTCATCATTCCAGTCCACATCTGAGCAAGAATCTTCTCTTGTCTCTACAGTAGACTTAGCACTCATGGCCCTCCAGCCCTGGCTTAAAGGTCCCCAGCAAAGAGGAACCAGAGGGGCAGTGGAGCCAGCGTGAACATGCAGAGCTGATGGTTCAGTTTTCGGTGTGAGCACTGACCACCGAAATGGACAAATGTCCCAGATCAGGACTTGATTTATTGGAGTATTGATTGTTTAGACTTTAAAAAGTGATGGAGAAAATGTTAATAATGCAAATTAAATTTAAAAGTGGCTCATGGGTATTTTTTTTTTGAGAAAGAGAAATGTTTTGTACATTTGACAAATTGTATACATCTTATACATTTACCAGGGCATTCAACTCCTTCCCAAGACAGCCTGTTCCACTTTGAGATCACTCTAAATATTGGGATGGTTTTCCTAGTATCAGCTTAAATTTGCCTCTTTGTGACTCCCCCTGCCTCAGTGACCCTTTGGCCCAGTGAGGACAGTGAAGCCCAATCTCCTTTCCACGGGATGACCGTACACATGCAATCGGACAGCAATCATAGGACCTTTGACTTAGAGCTGGCAGAGACCTCCCAGGCCATCACATCCAACTCCCGCATTTTACAGAAGAGGACATTGCGGCTCAGGGAAGGGAAGTTACTTGCTTAAGGTTACCTAGACAGTAAACCACCAAACTGAGATTCCAAGCCAGGTTCTCCAAACTCATCAGCATTCCACGTGGTCTGCCTCTCAGAAACATTCTTCCTGAGTTATCTCTCCTCTAGGCAATCATCTCCCCCTTGAATCCAAAGCCACCCCCAACCCTTCCCAATCAACCCAATACACAAGAGACGGAAGAGAGATTTTTGTGAGCAATCTCCTTTTATTAATTTATTCTTTTTTTCTTTTCTTTTTTAAAAAAAAGAAGTATTCATTTTGGTATAAAAAAATAAATATTTTAAATATAAGACTAAATAAATAAAAAATAATTTGTCAATATGAAACATTTCCACAGGGTACATTCATCAAACAGGAGTTTCTCCAAGGTCAAGATCATTCTGGTAGAAATAGGTGGATGGAAAAGACTTTAAAAAGATGACTTTGCAGTAAGTGGTATGGGCAAGCCTCTTCCAGGCACGAGACATAAGACTCGGACCCTGTCAGGGTAGGGGAGTGGGCGTGCAGCTATAAAGGATAGGAATTGGTACCAATGGGGAGGGTGGAATGGTAGGCTGACCCCCACTTCCAGAGATCCACCTGCCACCCTGTCTGAGCCCCTGGACTACAATGGGGGAAAGGTCAAGAGTCTAACTGGGTGGGGGTAAAGGTTGATGCAAATGAGGGCAGATGGGTCAGGAAGGGGAACAGGAAAACATAGGAAGCTTTGGAAGCTGCAAGCACTAGGGCTAACAGATACAGCGTGAGGACTGCTGGCCTTAAAGAGTCCATGTGTCTTATGTTTGCCTAGCTGGGAGAAGCTAGCCCCTGTCCCATCTGAGCCTGGGCTGGGGTGGGGGATGGATGGGTGAGCAGGGGCTGGGAAAAGGCACTTTCATTGGATTCAAGAATATAGAAAATGTCATCACACGAAGAATGAGTGGGCCCAGAAAGGCTCAGAAGACAGAGGTGGGATGAGGTCCTGGGGTTTCCCTAAGCCTTGGTTCTACCATTAGAGCTAGAAATCTCCAGCTCTCCAATATTCTGTGCCCCACTTCCCACCACCAGCCATGGAACCTGCCACATGGGTGGGGGCTGGTAAAGTGCTTAGAGATATTCAGAGGAAGGTACAAGTAAGTGCAAAATTATCACAACCATTTTTCATACAGGCAACTCATTCCCCACTGTCCCCCCTCCCCCCTCCCCCCCAGTTCAGGAGAAAATAAAAAACATCCTCATAGCAGCTGCTCCCACTCTATTTCCTCCTCACCTCATGGGTCTCAACTCCCCCTCCCCCAGTGCCCAGCACAGGACTCTGTACACAGTAGGTGCCTAATATATGCTTGCTGAATTGAGCCGAATCTGAATCCAGGCATGGTGTAGGCTGGAAAGGAGACATAACATCCTTACCAGTGCTGAGGCCCTGGGGTAGGAGAGAAGGGCCTTCCTTCCACCCTCCCACTCCTTTCCTCTACCCCCAAATGGAGAGAAAGCTCAGCCCTCTCTTTGCTGCCACAGAAGGGACAGATAATCTCTCAGTCTGAGAGGCCAGGAAAAAGAGGGGCTGGCATGGATGACCTAGGGAGAGCCCGGCTGCTCTGACCTTCTGGGGGTTCTCAGGATTGCTCAGGGCCCAGATAATGAAAGGTCTCAGAGAGGGGCCTGGGGCAGGCAGTGACCCCAGAGTTGCCCTCCACATCATGGAAGGTCAACTTCAATCTAGGGGGAGCCTGGGAAGCTCCAGGGGTGCCTTCACATTCCACATTTGTTCTGGGTGTCTCCCAAGGCCCTCTGTGGAACTTGGACCTCCAGTCAGAATCCTAACAACCAAATTTAGATAAGGCTTTAAAGAGACCGAGGGCCCCCCCAAGGCCCTTCATCCTCACTATCTTTCTGATAGCCTAGAAGTCAGGCCAAGAGCTCATGGAGTGGCAGTGGTCTAGAACAAATGCTGAGAGCCATTCACCAAGGCCTTCAGTCCCAGCCACGCGGTGCCCTTTCAGATACCAAACTCAATTCACAAGCAGTTCTCAGGTCCAAGTCTTGCCTCCCTCATCAGCCCAGAATAATATATATATATTATTATTGTTGTTGTTGTTGTTTTTGTTGCTGCTGGGGGAGGGGCATTAACTTTGACAGGAAAAAGCACCAATAAATTAATATAAATAGAAAAAACACAAATAAATAGACAATCACCTCGGGTTAGACACTGTGGGTGTTAGGCCTGGCTAGATCTCAGATCCAGCCAGGCCAGATGTCCTCCAGCGACGACCTCATGGTCCTCTCCCTTGCCCTGCCGACTCACCAACACAGATCTTTCTAGCCCCGGTCCCCACCCCCCCAGCCCCTCCCCCCAGCCCACTCCTGCTCTCTCTGCAGTCCTTGTGTCACCCGGTGTGGGCTCAGGCAGGCCAGCCTGAAACTACACGACCTTTCCTCTCTCTCCCGGCTCCAGTGCCCAGTGACTTCTCCCTGCCTGGGCCTGGGCGTGTGAGCTCTCTGGGCTACTTCTCCTGGCCTGACAATCCTTAGGATCCCAGACCGACCTCAAAGGTCAGCTAGTCCAACCAGCTAGCTCATCTTCCAGCCGAGGAAACTGAGGCCCAGAGAGGTGAAGGTGTTAAGGTTAGGGTCTTCTCCAGAGAGAAGAGGACACAGCTTGGTAATCAGCAGAGGTGAATTTGAACTCTTCAAATCTCCTGCTCTATCCACAGTACCACACTCCCTTAGGCCCCCACGCCTCTCAACCACCTCTGAGAACCCCCTGAACCCTATCACTTCACACTGAAAGAGCCGGAAAGGCAGGGATGGGGGGTGGGCTGGCTCATCCCCCCTCCCTGACCCTCCCAAGCTCCAGGTAAGAGGCAGGGCTGAGGGGCTGAGGGGCTGAGGGGGGAGGCAGTGAATCCATAGGGCTTTCCTTCATCAAAAACTTCCTTCACCTCCATACCTCAAAGTACCTTTTGCCACTACCTACTTCTCCCTCCCTAGAGGGGTGCTGCCTCTCTCAAAGGAGCGGAGCCCTTCTCTGGCACCGAGAATGCCCCCAGATCATCAGAGACGCTGACAGCCCCACCAGCTACCAGGGCCTTCCACTGAGCTGCCTGGCTCCTTTCCCATAGAGATTCCTTTCCCAACATGCACCACCCAGAAGCCCCAGCCCATCTGACACCAGCTTTACCACCCATCACTTTGGATCCAAGGACGGTAATTCTGCATCTCTTCTCACTACCCACCGGAAACAGACTCCCATCCCTTGAGATTGGCACAGGCTAACCAGGCATGATGATCCGACCTGCAGACCACCGAAGGGACCTGGAGGACCCCCAGCGAGTGCCCCAGACCAAGCTTTGGGAGCTCTTTGCTTTCCCGGGTCTGAGTCACTCTTGGGAATCCTTAGGCCTAGACTCCTGTTTGGAGATCTCTCATAGGTCCAGTTGAGACCCCCCCACAAGTCAAGGCGGCACCTCGAGATTCCCAGGGTGCCTAGAAGGCCTGGGCCACCAGAGAAATGACCTGCTTGTATTTCCCTAACAAATGGCAGCCCAGCTTCTTCTTCTGGAAGGTGTCCTTGGTAGAGGTGTCGGGGCCGTAGGAGACGGAGACGTGGGCCACGTGGTACTTCTTGCACAGACGACAGGTCAGGTTGTTAAGCAGCCCCCTCATCACAGCCGTGGTTATGTTCAGCTGACTGAGGAGGGGCAGGGCGCCGGGGTTGAGGGCCCTCTGGTCCCGGGTGATGTTGCCTAGTGAGGCGTTGAGGTAGGCTATGATCCGGTATAGCTCCACCAGCTTCTCCTTGTCTGTGCCATTAGCGTGGAAGGGCGGGAAGTCCGTCACGTTGGGGTTACACAGTTTGTCTAGGTTGGTCTGGAATGGATCCCCCTGAGCCTTGTACTGGGACACAGAGAAAAGCACACAGGTTAGCCAACAGCGGGGACAGAGGGGCACGGCGATTACTCGAAGCAGGGGGGCTGGCCCGTGAGGTCTTTGCTGATTCAGGAATGCTTCAACCAAAGAGTGATGTGGAAAAGGCTCATGCGCCAGACAGGGCCTGTGCTGGAGAGAGCGGAGGTTCCTCCTGGCGCCGGAGGCTACACTTCTGGGACAACGACAGAGACCAGGGACACTGGGCTACAGGGGAAAGTATTCAGCCGTTCCTAGACTCAAGGAATGTCAGAGCTGGGAGGAACCTTAGAAGAGAGAAAGGCAGAGGAG